AATATATATATATATATATATATACACACACACACACACACACACACACACACACTCACACATATATATACATGTATATATACACACACACACATATATATCTTTATGGTTGAAGCAACTGTTAGTTGGGTTTTCCATTTCTTGAAGTTGAAAAACCTATTAACGAATAAAACCCCTCTACTACATTTTCCATTTTTAAATGTCTCTGTTTTATGTTCTGGGTAATTTCCTTAGATCTAGTTTCCAATTCAGTAGTTCTCTCTTCTGCTGTATCCAATCAGTTTTCAGCCCAACTGGTAACTGGTATTTTTAATTCCAAATTTTAATTTCTACAAGTTTTACTTGATTCTTCTCCAAGTCTTTTTTTTTTTTTTATAGTACTGTGTTCTTTCCTTATGATTTTAATATGTTTAAACATAGTCTTTTGAGGTCTCTTTCTTCCTGTTTTATTATCTCAAGTTCTGGTAGATGATCCTCTTGTTGGTGGTGCCTGCTGACTAGCTCAAGTAGATCGATTTCTTTTCTTTTTTAAAATTTTATTGGAGCACAGCTGATTTACAGTGTTGTGTTACTTTCAGGTGTACAGCAAAGTGATTCAGTTACACATATACATATATTATTTTTCAGATTCTTTTCTCACGTAGGTTATCGCAGCATCTTCAGTAGAGTTCCCTGTGCTATACAGTATGTCCTTGTTGTCAAGTAGATGATTTTCTTGAGCGTTTTGTAATTCTGGATTGTGAGTGTATTTTTAGCAGCCTCTGTGCTACCGGCCCAGGAGTCTCCTACAGCAGAGACAGTATAAACTGGGGAATGCTTGCAGTAGATATTATAAATTTGGACTCCAAACCTCGTCTGGCCCAGTTTTCTTTCCTTACATGAGATTTTCCTTTTTTGGCCACCAAAAAATCCCAGGAGGAGACCAAGCTTCCTTGTCACCTCCCTGGACTGGAAGGTAGAGATTTTTATTTCCCCGTCACTAAGAGTAGCATTTGTGAGCCTTGGTTTTGTGCAGGGGTCTCAGGACTAATGCACTGTTTACAGGAGCTCAGGGCCTTGTCTCTTGCCCCTGCGTGGGCAAGAACCACAGCCTATACCCATCAGATGCCCGCTCATTACGAGCTCCCTCCACCACCCCAGCCCCAACCCCAGCCCCAAATCTGGGTGGCCAGAGTCCCCAGCACATGCCTCAGGGCTCTGGTCTTCACTCCTCTTTTAATTTCCAGCATCTGGTTATTTCCCGGTCTTTCTTCAGAGATCATAGCTATGTACTGATATTTTTAAAATTACATTTTATTCAGATTTCTAGGTGCCTTGAACAGAGGGTTTTAATGATAGTTCAGTCTGGAACTGAAATTTATCCACAGTGAAATCTTCACTGAAAACACTCTAAATCACATGTGGTCAGACCAACTGGATAATTTTCATTAGGAATCATGAGTAACATATCTTCAGCAGATGGATTTCACTGCTCTGTAAAAATTATTTAGTGGATGGTATAAAGTTCTTCCTCATATGATTAGAACAAAGTATCACAAGGACACGAAGGAGGATACTTACCAGGCTGGGTTTGATGCCTACACTTTCAGCTGCTTCAAATGCCAACAAGAGATTTCTTTTCTAGGTTAAAAAGACAAAGACAATGAAATTATCAACTAAAAATATATAGTTTTTGCTAGGAAAAAACACCAACTGACATTCCTATAAAGATTACCTACTGTTTATAAAACACTTAAGTTTTCAAGTCAAATATGCAACCAATGATCTTAGTTTATGGGGAAAAAAAGATTAACAGGTTACCGTTGTCACTAAAAATTACATTATTGATTGATTCCTGACCATCAGAGATACATTTTTGTTAATTTGGTTATTTATTTATTTTTTTGCTTTGTCAAGATTTATGACATACACATTATGTTGGGTATCAAGTTGTTTAATCATGGTGTTATACCAAAACAATTACCAAAGGAATATGTGCACGTCGTTAAATATAGTCATATGAAAACCTGTTGCTTCCCTCAACCCTGGTCCTCTTGAGAAGAACTTTTTGTTTCTCTCTTTAATTCTGGTGATCTCCTCTGTATCTCTGTTAACTGCGCACACCACCGCTGCTTGATTTCCGAAATAGAGGCATTGCCTTCTAACTTCTTCCCAAGATAAACGAGGACTTAGGTACCTCTCTCCTCCCTGCATTATACTCACATAGCTCGTGTTTGTGCCTGTGTTAGTTGTGTCTGTGACTTTAACCATTTTCCTTAAACCTCCATTTCTCGTCCCATCAATTACAGACAGCAGTTCCCGACTCCACTTTGTATGACAAGGAAGACGTTCCCTTGCCTTTCATCCACCTTGTCAAGTTTTAAACTGTTAAAGCTGATAGCATTTGCTTCCTTTTCTTCAACCACACTTACGTGTTCAGCACCCTCTTAACAGAACGACTCTAAGGCTGAACACAGTAAGCGGTGTTTACACAGCAGCTGAGATCAGATTCCTCTCCCCACTTCCACAGTCGTGATGCTGTGCCCCTCAAAACACTTTTTCCAAATGATTTTCTTCTTTGTAACTCGACCAACGGCTCAAAACCACACCACATTTCAGTGTGCTCCAGACCTGGACCTCGACTGTCTTCAAGGCCGTTTGTTTTCAGTTCTGCTTATGGGGATTGTTCTTGCTGGAAGAACTGTGCCTCCTCTCATCTTCCGGTTTCTTATCTTTCTGACTACGGCTTACAATCCATGATATTCTCTTTGTACCAAACTGACTTTCTGTTCTAATGTTCTGTTCTCTCATTGCCCCCCTTTATTAGACCCCCCAAGCTCTTAATCGTATCATTATTCTAAGAAACCCTTCAGCCCTGGAGTCCCCCAGAACCTGTCGACTGACCAAAAAAAAAAAAAGCACAACCTAAAAGTGGAGAATTGTGTTTTATTTGGTAGACATACTGAGGACTTAAGCCTGGGAGACAGGCTCTCAGATAGCTCTGAAGGGATTGTTCCGAATAGGTCAGGGAGAAGCCAGAATACATAGGAGTTTTGCAGAAACAAACCAGGTAGTTGAATATCAAAAGATTTCTGCTAATTAAAGAAAAAAACAAACTTCTCAAGCTAGTGAGTTTAGCACTTTTCTACGCATGGGAAGATGCAAGAGTCTGGGCTCACTGAAATCATTTCTCTGAAATGCACCTTAACTATCTAGGGCCCATATCCTGCTTTTTTCCTCCATCCTGGATCCTCGCGGTCGGGGCGGGGGCAGTGGCTGAGGGCTTGATGGCCGCCACATCCTTTGTTTACTGATATGGCAGGCAAAACTTTTTGTCCACAAACCTCATGTCAGTTTTTGCATAATACCCCTGTTCTTTCTTTAAAATTTTTAATCTATCTATCTATCTATTTATGGCTGCGCCCTAAAGCTTGCGGGATATTAGTTCTCCGAGCAGGGGTTGAACCCACACCCTCCGCAGTGAAAGCTCAGAGTCCTAACCACTGGACCGCCAGGGAATTCCCCTGAGAACCCTATTCTACTGGAGCACATTCTTAGTTTCCCTCTTAAAGAAAGGCTGTGGGAGAGATACATTTTCTGGATGCATTCATATACGAACTTTTCTCTTTTCTACCATCTCACTTGGTTAATAATCTGGCTGGATAGAGAACTCTAGGTTGAAAATAATTTCCCCTAGAACTTTAGAGGCTCCACATCACTTAGCCCTCGTTTGTTGCTCCTTTTTTGAGACCCTTTCTGGCCGTTCTCTGATGCTTCCTCATCTGGATGAACTTAAGAACCATTTGGTCATGCCTCCGCCCGTAATTCATTTGAAGTCATTCAGATTATATGAAACTTTAATTGGTAAAGTAAGTATAATTGAGAGACGAATGTTTCCCTATGTATTCACATTTTCTGTTGCTCAGCAGAATTTTGTAATTTTATGCATTTAGATTTTCTACAGAATTTTATACATTTCCCCACTGCCCCTTTCCGTCCTTTCCGGCACGTCTGGTGCCTGAAGATTAAGGGGTCCTCTGGATACTGAGGCAAACTCTCTGTACTAGGTACCAGGTCACGGGAAACACTAGAACACGGCAAAAAACTTTTCTTCTGGTCTGTGGTCGGGGCCTTGGAAAGCCGTTGACCTGTGGTCGTCTTGCCCAAGCCGCCGGCCCCCCTCCTCCATATCAAAGGTAATTAATGGGGATGGACTGAGCGGAAACTTTAACGCTGCTCTCCGTCCTGCTGAGAGGGGAGCTGTCCAGTGGCTCCTGGCTTCCTTTACTTTAGCCCCGGTCAGCAGCAGGAAGCTCCTACTTTGGTGCTAATGAGGCCTTTGTCCTTATTTTAAAGTCCTTTGGGTTCATTCTGGGGGAGGAAAACGGTCTGTAAGCCAATGGTTTTTAGGCTACCATTACTCCAGACATTAAGATACAAACATTTTTTCATGGTTTTTGGTATGCACTGCCAAACAGCTTTGTAAATGTTAACACAGTTTTCAGTTCCAGCAACAGTGTTTAAGTGCCCATTTTCTCCCACCTTTACTTGCATAGAATGTTACGATTTTCAAAAGTCTCTGCCAAATGTGACAGGCTAAAAATAATATTTTGTTTTAATCTGTATTCTTTGATTACCAGTAAGGTCTAAGGAAAAGGCATTTCTAAACCTCAGGTTTTATACAGAATTCCCCCCGCCCCCCAAGACTCTTTATCCTGATCCTAATGAAACTGCTAGTGTTTTCTAAGCAGAAATTGAACAAAGAATAAATAGTTGAAAAATTGTCGGAAAACACTCTGAAATTGCATATGGTATGACATGGACCATTACAGGGAGAGGTGGTTTCTGGTGCATGAAAATGACTTTTGTTGGTTTTGGTGGCAGCAGGACATTAGTGATGAAGCATCTTGATCCTAATTCTCTCATTAGAACACCGTCACGGACACTGTGGGGAGGCCAGAGGGGAGACAGACGCAGAGAGTGTGCCCGGCCAGGACCTTCCAGCCCCTGGACAGTGGAAGCCCCCAGCCATGGGGACTCTGCTGCCAGCTGGCCCTGCAGTGGGGACCTCGCCTGAAACTGACGGGACTGAGGAGCCCCAGCCCAGAATTTCCCCCTCACATCAGTATTTCGTTTCAGACACCAACATAAAGACAGTCCATCCTATCACCTGAATCTGAGGACCTCAGCGGGAGTTTCAACAGGAGGACAGAGGAATACGCTTTTTTACTGAAAAAACACCAAACTTTCCACTGACTGTAACTCACATCCCGTGCTTGTAAATCTCTTTAACGTCTCAGAAGGCATCCTTGTTGATGGTATCAGGAATTCCCTACCTAGTGCCGAGGTCACGACTCCACTGAAGGAGGAGGAACAGCTCATGACTTCTGAACGTTCCGGGCTGTCGAGAGCTATAGACCATATACAATTTTTAGATTCTGATTTTAATGGGATTTTACAAATATTACCGGCCTCTCTTGGTGCCCTTTTTGATGTATGTTGCTCAGCAAAAAACCCAAGAAGCACCCAGCACTGAGAGCTCCCCAGATCCGGGCTCCAGGTGAGGGCTGGGCTCCACGTGTCCTGATGACGTCAAAGGCATACTTTCCATTCAAATTAGCTCATCCCCTTTGAAGCCCAACTTCGAATAGGCCCCTTCTAGGAAGCCTTCCCTGCCTGAATCCCTCTCTCTCCACCAGCAAGATACTCCCAGGCTGAGTCTCACACACATGCTCAGTTTTAAACTGTAATGATTTGACTTGCCTGTGTTGACACACTGTTTTTGAGAACCCTCATCAGTAACTCTGATCGACATGAGTTTCTCTCCCCATCCTGAAGGCAAAGCTCCCCAAGGGCAGTGGCTAAACTGTCCCTCCACCCGGAGCGCCTCTACATGGGGGCATTTAGGAAGCAGGAGGCTGGCTGGTCCTTTGGGGAGGCTGTGAAGCCACACGATCTTTTTTTTTTTTTTTGGCCACACTGTGTGACACGTGGGATCTTAGTTCCCTGACCAGGGATCGAATCCGCATCCGCTGAAGTGGAAGTGAATAATCTTAACTGCTGGACCGCCAGGGAAGTCCCACCACATGATCTTAAAATGAAAACTCTGGCCACCTGGAGCTGAGTGCTTCATCTCCTCACAGACCCAAAGCCTTCCACGGTCCGACGGCGTGCTCCCCAATGACGGTGTTCTGGATAGGGGAGAAGAAAGGCAACCCCACGTGTAGGAACCACGGGCCCCTGGACCACAAGGACAAGAGAGTGACTGAGCCGTGACGCCTGGCTGTTCTGCAGGTTTCCAGATCCAGGCAGCCGTCTGCGCGTCGCGGGAATCATCGGCGTCCAGGGAGACGCTGCGGTTTCCGTCATCGGGAAGCAATGTCACGATCCCAAGTGTGAAAACAAACACGTTTAGGCCCATTATTTTCCAACACGTCCGTACTGACTGGAGGGCAAAGCGCCCACGACCGCAGGCAAAAACGTCACACTCTGAGGATGCATCTGCATCAGGCATGGACCAGACCTCCCCATCGGCAGGGAAGCCTGC